GAGATGCCGTGGTTGGGTTCGAGCCATAGACCTTCCAGCTCTATACAACGAAAGTTGCATTACCTCCATCACTCAGCTTTCTCAGTGGTGTATACGTGAACTTGTATTGCCGACTTTGTTTGCAGTTCAGCAAAATATATAGATGATAAGGTGAGACTGGAAACTCTGAAGAATGTCTTGATCGGATTTCAACTCACTAGTTCAACCGGTACTGCACTATTCGCCATAAATGCATTTAGGCTGTCAGGCGTCCGCACGTACAATGATCTGGGGCGCAAAATTTTGCGGAGTTTTTGGACGGCACTTGTTCATGTACAGTTGAACTCCGTTGGTTTCTGTAAGCACACTAACAACCACCACGACATAGGATGACTTTTTTCCCCAGAATATTGCAAAAACAGGACAAGACAGTTGTGAGTCTGTGACTCTCTGAGGACACGATGATGGGAGTATTCGTGATCAGGTAGCTTGAACAACTGCTACAGGACGCACAGTGCGTGGGAAACAGGTTGGGTATAACCGAGTGGTGTCAAAAAGGGAAACCCCAGTGAACCGCGGTGGGTGGACTGGCCTGTGGATCAATATGGCAAAATGCCATTGCGTCGTAAGCTGAGCAAACTCAATGAAGCAAAGCATGGCATCACATCAATCAATGAACCACTGCTTTTTCTCCTGTGGATCAAAACTGATAGCGCACCACATGACACGATGTTTTTTTAAGTTCCATTAACCAAGGTCATCGTTTTTCATACTTTCTGGAAGAAAATATTAGCGATGAACGGATATCTATCTACTGCATTAACTATCCACAATTCGACTTGAAGTATCCACTTGTTATTCAGTATGAATGAGGTTCAAAAAATTGTGTGTTGTATGCGACACCTACTTGAATTTAGCTCAAGGTAGTCCAGTGGTTAAGGCATGAACTTGCTAACCGGAAGGTCCATGGTTCGAACCTAACCCCAGCATCTCAACTGCTCCGGTCTAGGCTTAAAAATCTCATTGTAATTCAGCCGCGTGCTTCCATGGGTAGCTAGTGGCAGCTAGGCACAGAAAAAGTGGTACGGCTGAATAATTTATTGTTAGTATTTTTGGGGGTTGAATAGGTTATGGAGAAAATAGTGCAGATCCCTTTCAGTAACTAACCTCTTTCACCTAGGGTGACCGTCACGAGCACCCCATTTACTACCTCTACAAGACTACTTAATCCCTCTACTGATTGCTTTTGCGTTTACTGAAACAAGTATGACATGGCTCCAACACAGATGAGCTCCCCAAACAATATATTTTTGTACACGACCTCTAGAAGAACTATGCCCTTCACGGCTAATCGGTCGAGGTGCGCCTTTCCTCGTCGATCGTCCGATCACACTTTACTTGACCTTTTGATTCGTGACCAGAGTAAAATAAATGCACATGAAATCGGTCCAACTAACTCGGAACAACTAAAGAAACGTCAGTTGTGAGATTGGAAAAATCTTATTATGTACCTTACGGAGATTAGAAAAAGCCTGTTTAAAGAAAAGGCCGAAGTGTAAGCGGGACAAGGCAATGTGGTTTGAGTAAAGCGAGCAGGTCCAAAGCAGCCTTCTCGATGCCCGCACAATTCTGTAAAATCCCCCGCTAACAGCTTCTGCCCCGAGTGAAAACATCCCACGAAATAGCAAGATATGTGCAAGATGGCGAAACTTATCTTTAGATGTGAAACTTCGGTCATTTTTCTCTACCGATTGCAAATGGCTCGCCGCGGGTGTGAAGACTGATGACAGAAATGCTGACATCTTTATGGAGACATGGTCAATTAACAGTGAACCCGTCTTTGTTCACTAGAATCCGAAGACTTATAGGCTCCTCGTAATACGTAAAGTAGTTTTTAACGAGAATACTTTGGCGTGATTATTTTCACGCTCGAATATGGCTGGTAGTTGTTCTCATCTAACTGTTATGATCTAGCCACAACAAGAACTCTTGCCTGAACTTACTCATGGCATTAATAGCTGACGGATGGTTTAGTGACTTGATGCTTACCACTCTGTAGTCGAACAGTGCAGAAGCGCCCGAAACACCTCGTATCTTGCTCATGGTCGCAAAAATCTGCCCTCGTTGCTTCAAGTATTACGAAACGGCGTACTTGAAATCATTCTAAAAGCGGTTCCAGTTTTCAAAACCCGAACGAAATAGTGCCGCGATCGGGATAAAAGTAATGTTCATTTGTAACTCTAGTGTCGAAGACATTAGAAAACAGCACAGTTACTTGCATTACATTACACCAAGTGTCACTAAACCATGCAGGTTAGAGTCTTGGAAGGAATT